TGGCCACTAGAATTACAATTGTTTGTAGAATAAGTTAAGAGAGATCTAATTTATTCTAGGACACATTCACACACACTTAATCGTTCGCTAAGAGATTAGTAGCGATTAAGGAGCCGTAAGCTCGCTCGTTTTGGCAGTAATTTAGGATCCTGTCGCATGAGAGATCATCCTGGCCCCCTAAATTATTGTACTCTACGCCGCGAGACCGGTAAGAACTTAGTAATGTTTAGCTAGGCTCAATTAAATTAATTTCATGTAATTAGGCATGATCTGTCTGAAATCTGGTTACCCCGGAATCAATCCATGTTCCCTTCGTCGTTAATTAGAGAGAAACCAATCTATTTTTATTCGCTCCTTCACATTAGTTAATTTTCATGAATGGATGGTTTGAATGGGACATTAGATAGCTAAACCTATATGCTTCCTCCGTTCAGGCCCGATCATGACGTTTTATAGCCCGAGACAATATAGATAGAGTAGGCCTTTAAGAACATGCGAATATTTATTTAAGTAATTGCCCCATATAGGACTAAAACAAAGGTGAAATGCAAAAATAAGACTTGATATGTTTTCTTCCCTTAATAGGACCAATTTACTCCTACCATTAAAAACATGAAAATTAGCATCCCAGGTTTGCCCTTGAACCCATTTACACATTCTCTCTCCTCTTCCCCACTCATAGATCGACGATTACTTCTCCAGACCCCAAAGATATAACCGCACCCCATCTTCTCCCCCATCCCATCTTCTTCGTGCATCGCAACCACCGCCGACTCTCTTGCCTCAGGCCGCTGTCATCACTACCGATTTTGCCATGCGCCGTCACAGGTTTCTTCCTCCTTCCCCTCCTCCTTCTCCTATTCCTCTATTTAAATGAGATTTGCCACTGATTTTTCTAGTTTTACTCATATTCTTATGTTTTCCTAGGTTTTGATACTGATTTTCCAAATTTTAGGAATTTTATTTTGTATTTTCTGACTTTTTGTTTCAGATTTCTTAATTTTTTAGTTTTGACATTCGATTTGTGGATTTTTGGACTTCTATTTCAAATTTCTGTTTCCTGATTTCTTGATTATAAAAGAAAACCAGTTTTCCAGATTTTTGGACTATGAGATACGATTTGGCCAAGTTTATGGCATATTTTTGGATGATGATATACGATTTTGCCAAATTTATGGCAGAAATGTACTCTGACAATCATATTATGGCAAAACACTTTTTGGATGATGATATACGATTTTGCCAAATTTATTGTTCTACTATTTTTTTGTTTTTTGAAAATTTAGTTGTGGACTTCATATTTTGCCAAGGTTATGGCAGTTTTGTGTAAATCAGTGAAGATAAATCTGCCAAATTTATGGCAGATCTGAAAATTTGTTCTCAAGGGAGATTTGTAAGTACTCTTCAAGGTCAAATCTGGCAAATTTACTGCGGTGGTGGTGCTCGGAGGTGAAGTGGTGGCCATGGATTGAACACCGACGATAATGACGAGGATAGGATGGCGGCGGCGGAGGCGGATGGCGACACCGTTTGGGCGGCGACGGATGGCAACGATATGCCGGCAGGGATGTGGCAGGGCCCGGCCAGAACGACGGCCGGCGATGGAGGTAGTTGGCAGCGGCGGCGGCAGTCGACGGCGTCGGCGAGGGTAGCGGCAGTCGGCGGCGACGGGCGGCTCCGACTCTGGCATTCTGCTGCTAGTTTTTTTATAATTTAGGATTTCAATAGTTTTTTATTTTTCATTTTCAAAATCAAAAATATTAAAACAGGGTTATTTTTGACCAACTAAGTTGAAATTGGTCCTATGAAATTTGGGCTTCATTTATAGTCCTATATGTGCAATTAACTTTGCCATTAGTCCTATTTGAGGCATCTATATACGACGTATGTAACACAACAAAGAAATTAATAAATGAGACAGTTAGAAAGATTATATTTAGGTATTTGATAAGTTACGTACAATCGAAAATAATATCTATATACCTAAAATGATCAAATGAAAAAGTAGTATCATTGTTATTTGCAATAAAAAAATGAATTAGGCAAAGATATGAATGTTATATGATATATCGAGTAATGTTTTTATATTTCAAATCACATTTTCACTAGACTAAAATAAACTACAAATTTCTAATTTTTTATATATACTATAATTTAATATTTCACTTAAGTGAGAGAATCAAAGAAAATTAGTAAATTGCTATGAATAAATCATGGGTTTACATGAGAGAAGTAGATGAAAACATTAACATTTAATTATGCACTAACGCTTTATGAATAAGTAGAATTGTGAAGTTTGTTCCCTATAAATTTTGGCGTAGATGTTTCAAAATTTTAGACTTGTATCATCTAGATGTTGTTGAATAATTAATGAATTGGAAGTATAAAAATAATAAATTTTATTTTATTTTTAAATTTTATAGATATATAACGTATATATAAATTAAATATATGTATAACTGGTAAATTTATGGGCCCTATAGGAGCAATGGACTCTGAGCGCACGCTCCCTTGCCCATGCCCCAGAACCGACCCTGCCTCCGTTAGAAAGATTCTCACTTTCTCTTTTTGGACGTCCCATATAAATGTTCTTATTTCCATTTTAGGAAATAATTATCAATCTTAAACGACAATTTAATCATGAAATATTAAAAATAATTCATTTATAACATCACAGTTATCAACACTAACCCGACTATATTATATACCTAATTATTTCTCAAAGTATACTAGAATTACCTTATTTAATTATTGTCTAAATAAATGTTTAGTTTTGCCATGAGAGCCTTTGGGTGACTAATGTTTTGGGTGACTAATGTTTTTGACTTATCACTTAGCTTATATCAGTCATCTTTTTCATGAAAAACATATTTTTGTATTCATACGATGATCTTTTGTTTAAACGATGAATTGTTTAGCTAATTTTTACATTGTTTTTTCTTTACTTTATATTTTAAATACATTTCTGTATAATTTAACACATTCAGCCCCGTCATCCAAAATTTAATCAATTTGATCAGCAGAAATTGCCCATTCCGTCAAATTTATTGTTAAACGGGCTCGTATCACGTAGGTATGTACATAAGCAAAGAATAGTCTAATGACATATTGACATTGCATCAGTGCAAGCAGTTTGTTGACACTACATTTAGGAATTAAGAAAACAAGAATGTACTCTTTTGGGGAATTGCAAATATATAGCCTAGCTACACAGTACACACCCCGCCAAAAGGGTCCTAGCTACTTCCCTCCAACCCATTTCCAAAAAAAATGACACCCAATCCCTGAGGGGGCCCCAACCCCGATCGGACGGTACGTTGGGAGGATGTAAATTGGACTATAATCTCAATTTGACAGAGAGAGATGGGGGCTCTGTCCTCGGTACTTGCAGAGGCTCTCCAACCCATTTCCAATTCAATTCAACAGGTTTGCAATTTAAGCCACTGTTCTGCCTCCTCTTTAATTTGATGATTTGCACTTCATGATGTTTATTCTGGGTAAATAGCTTGTTAAAAAGCCTATCATCCTGCATTATATTGTTTCACACGGATCAGAGAATTGGAATATGCTAACATATATGCCAATGTAATCAACTTGAGTTCAATATCGTGAATCATACTCATTCAAATTTATGCAAATACCATGACTGATGAATGGGAATGAAATCAAGGGTATGTTTGGTAGTTGTGTATTGGAGGGGAGGGGAAGGGTTAGTAGGGTTTATGACATCTCATGTCTTATTTAGGAGTTTAGAAAATTTGAAGGAATGATTTTGGAAGGTTCTTGTGACCGTTCAAAAACCCTTCGAATGCTCAATTTTATATTCTTCAAATTTGGGAATTTTGAAAGATAAATATTTAAATGATAACAGTAACTTAATTAAGAGTGAATATAAATTCAACTATTTAAATTCGGCATATCTATTCAAATTAGTAACTCTCAAATAAAAAGAAGGATTTTCTCTCCTTTCCCTCCCCTTCACCTCCTAGAACTAACGCTCAAGGCTTTCTTCTTCCCTTCCCTCAAAACTCCCAAAGATACCCTAAGAAAAACTTTTTTCTTATCTAAAATATATAAATCGTACTATAGCTAGTATAGTTATACATATACTTCATACTTTGTTACCCGAACAAATATAATGAGTTAAGTGTATCGATACTCTAAATACATTTTGATCGAACTCTTTTAAGTAACCCATGTTTTCGACTTATCACCCTTATCAGTCAGACTCTTATCAGACTCGACCCTACTCATTTTCATCTCTAATGGCTATGACATTAATTCATTGAGACAATCAGAAAATTTAACTAAAACCCTTATGATAGTAATAATGATTTGCCTCATCCAAAATATATAATTGGATTACCAAAATGAATATAATATTTTAATCATTTACACATTTTTTGTGAACATTATATTTTAAAGAGTTCTTTGGAAGTGTTATTTTACTCCCTCCGTCCTAATTTGATAGTCTCATTTCTTTTGGGCACAAGTTTTAATAAAGTGGTTGAAAAGGTAAAAGTTATGGTTGAGATTTGAATATAATAAAGTAAAATGATATGGACAACATCTTTCTTTCCAAAAAGGGAAATAGGACCATCATTTTTGAACATCCCAAAAAGGAAATACAGGACCATCATTTTAAGACGGAAGGAGTATGTACTTATTGGAGTTTGACATCTGCGGGCAGCCGGGGCAATGATCTTTCTTTTCAACTATTTTAAAATACGAAGGGAGCACAAAATACTCCATCCGTCCTTTAAAACTTAATCAAGCTTGATCGTCACAGAAATTAATAAAGTAAAAACTGTATGATAGAGATTTGTGCGGAGTAGAGAATTCTTTGGAAGCACAAATTATGGACGTAAAAAGGAAAGTAAAAACGTTAGTGGAATATCCACAAAAGGAACGTTGGTCAAATTTTAAGGAAAGAAGGAAGTATGATAACCAAGATCATTATTATGAAACACGAAAATTTTCTAGAAAAAATATACAAGTACGTGGTATTAATTTCGAAAACCTTAAGAAAACTCTTTAAAACATGTTTTTTATTAAAAGATGATCGAATTAAAGAAACTTGTATGTATAGTTGTATATCGAGTGGTGCACGTCTTGCTGCTACGGCCGTTGATATTTGTATTGTTCGAAGCCGATGATATCCTGTTTTTCAAGAACGAATCTTTACTCACACTCCCAGCACCTTTAATAATACTAGTAGTAGATTTTTCATGTTTCTCGGCAGCCGGCGGCTTAGGAGAAACCTTGGCAACTCTCTTATTCGCTGCCGGAAGATTGCATTTCTTTCTTGATCCCATGCAAAAGGGAAACACCGTCTTCAGAAACAGCCCCCTCTCGTCCACTTTCCGACTTCTTGACGGCGTCATCTTCCCGCTGCTGCTACTCTTATTCATAGCAGCTGCCGGCTGCAGATAATAGCGATCCAATAAAGCTTTCTGTGTATAGTCTTTGCTGGTCAAAGATTCTTGTCGAGATTGATCTGCCACAACAACAACTGTGGGTGTGGGGTGTTCGACGAGATCCTTCAAGGATAAGTCCAAGTACGACGACTGATCATCAGCAGCGGCAGCAGGCATGTTCTTCACCATCTCCATCAGTTCCCACTGCCCTCTGTGTATCGCCTCAGCTCTAGAACTGATGAACGGACCTCTTCCCGGAAGTTCTGCCGCAGGAAAGCTGTAATTACGAGCTGTGCGGGTGACAGGATTAAGAATACGGACTTGAGCTGCCCTGCTTGAAGAAGGCATCTTAGCTAATTAATGCTTGGAGAATTGAAGATGCTGATTGATGCATATGCATATATATACATGCATATATATAGATATATATAGATGCATATATATATATATATATATATATATATATATATGCGTATATATATATATATATATATATGCATATATATATATGCACATATATATGCATATATATATGCATATATATATGCATATATATATATATAAACTATCCTTAACTTACTAACCTACAAACTCAATAATATGCAACACTTTGATCTTCAATATGCAGTACAAATAATGTAAAGATGCACTTTTTAAATTTCAATATGCAATACAAATAATGTAAATATGAAACTGCTATTTTATGGCTTGAATAATATCACACTTTGAACTTCAATGTGCAATATAAATAATGTAAAGATGATTTGAATTGAAGGACTAATTTGTATGTGATCTCACCCCTGCATCTTTACATTATCTTTATTGCATATTGAAGTTCAAAATGATGCATATTATTGAGTTTGTAGGTTAGTATTTTAAGCATAATTTGTATTTGATCTCTTATATATATATATATATATATATATATAGAGAGAGAGAGAGAGAGAGAGGTTTTGGTTCAAATAAGAACATGATATTAGGAGAGAAATGAGAACGAATCTGGACCGTTAGATTTGTTTTAAGTGAAATTCAATGTGCATTAGATGAAACTGTAATGTGCATTAGGTGAAATTGAAATGTGCAACACAAAACGTACGTTACAATGTCATTATGTGAAGTTGAATTGTGCATTATGTGAAATTGAAATGTGCACTAAGTGAAACTGAAATGTGCAGGATAAAAGGTACGATGTGATGTTATTTTTCTACATTTTATTCCGCACATTTCAGTTTCACCTAATGCACAATTGAGTTTAAATTTTTATTCTGCACATTTCATTATTATCTAATGCACATTTCAATTTCATCAAATGCACAACTCAGTTCCACATAATATAATTCAATAGTCCACATTTATTCTCATTTCTCTCTTAGGAGTCCGTTATTACCAAAATCGCTTCCTATATATACATATAGATTAATAGGTACGTAGTATATATTCAAATCTTCGAAATATAATTCTTAAGTTTTGCATTAAAAAAGACAAGTGTAAAAACAAAAACGTCACAATTAAAAAAGAAGGGAACGATCTCCATTAATATGTGTGGCGTTTGTATGGGTTTTAGGCTTTTAGGTGTGAATGAAAGATGGAGGGGAGAAAATAGGGTGGGCGCGTGGCACTGGGTGTCACAAGAGTGTAGGGCCGATTGTCTCTTTCGTTCATTGTAATAACGCCAAAGTCTTCTGAATTATTTGACACTTCATCATCATCGTAACAAACCGAGTAAAAGTCAAGCCCCTTCTAGATGGGGTTGGCGCAAGTGCATTTGGCTTCACGACCGATCCTAAACATGAGGGATTCAGGGGTCATGGGCCTCCGTATTTCTTGGAAAAAATTCCACTTTTGGTCTCATGACTATTACGTCACTTCCACATTAATCCTCTGAGTTTCAATTTAACCAAATGTAGTCCTTGACCTTTTCCACGTAATCACCCGTGGTCCTTCCGGCCACAATTCCGGCTAAATGTTACCGGAGACCATTTAATGAAGGGTAGTTGGGGGCATTTTAGTAAATTTAGATTACAAAAACGGCTACCTAATAAACTACTCAATTAAGTTAACTTAATTGTGAGCTAATACCGTCGTCTCCCTCTACCTCAAAAACCGAACTCTCTTCTCCCTCTGAAGAAAGCTTCCGTCAGCTTGACAAATCTCCAAAACAGTTCGAACAATGAGGACCCGTCTCGACCGCCGGCGTCAAGGAGAAGGAACAAGCTCTGAACGGCGTTCTCGAACAAATGCTGCTGATAAAGGTAAGTGGGTCAACTTTTTAACAAGAGTGGAAGAAAATAAATAATACTCGTATAAGGCTGAACTGAGGTTTATATATACGGTGGTTGCAGTGTTTAATTTGCACATGCTAGGGGTTTGATGTTGAGGTTCCCCTTTCCCTTTTTCCCTTTATTCCAAAACAAGGTAGGGTAGGCATGTGTTTTTTGGCTTAGATTCCCCTACCCGGTTGTCTTTTACCATTTAACACATGGGACCAGTTCACATGTATCTTCACGCAAGCTTAGACCCATACATGCTTTTTTTTGAACTAATAATTATGAAATTCATTTATGGTGTTGTGTTGACCATTTAAACACACTATTGACCTCATTTATAAAACAGCTGCAGCCAACTGTGGAAACACTTTTACTTTGAGGTTGTTTTATGGAGGAAAAGTAAATCACATGGAAAAACCTGCATACTTGGGAGGGTCAATCCATAATTTTCATGATGTAGAGGTTGATGAGTTCGGTTTGATTGAGTTGAATGAGAAATTACAAGAACTTGGTTGCACCAAAAAGGTAATGACTGTGTATTCCTATTCACATGAGAATGAGTCCCTAAAGCAACTAAATAATGAGGCAGAGGTTTGGGGGATTGTGAATGGTGGAAATGTTGGTAAGGTGGTGGAGTTTTGGATAGAATTAGAACCCAGTGGTGACACTGAAGATGATGATGACCCTGAGGATAGTGACTTCAGTGAGAAGGACTTAGAACACTTTTCTGGGGATGAGGATGACTCTGATTTGGAAGACTTCACTTCTAAGGAGGATGTTGTGTTGTCTACTCATGGAGGGTTAAACAGCAGTAGTGAAGGAGAAGAAAATGTTACTGAAGCTTCAATGGTGGACCCGGATCCTAACTTGTCTGATGATGCTTCCATACATGAATCTGACAGTGACTCTGAGAAGTGGACTACATTCTTTGCCAAGACTGATATGAAAGAGCCTACCTTTAAACTGGGTTTGACATTTGGCACCAAACAGGAATTCAAAGAAGCTGTGGAAAATCATGCATTTAAGAATGGTAAAGAGGTGAGGTTTGTCAAAAATGATAAGGAACGGGTTGTTGTGGAGTGCAAGCATATAGGCTGCCTATGGAAGATGAATCTAAGAAAGGTAATGAACTCTCATTCTTGGAGGATTTTAAAGTACCATGACACACATGAAGGTTGCTCTTGGGTCTATCACAACAAAATGGTGAACTCTAGCAAGGTAGCAAATAGGTGGTTCAAGGAGATTGAGGGTCACTCAAATTGGAAAACCAAAGAGTTTAGACAGAAAGTATGTACTGAAGAACGATTCCATTTGAGTCTCAGGCAAGCTTATAGAGCAATAAGTAAGGCCAAGAGAAAATTGAGAGGTGAAGAAGAAGATTACTTCAAGAAGATATGGTCATATGTGGCTGAAATAAGAAGGACCAATCTGTGCTATATGGCTGAAATTTGGAAAAGGCCGTGTTGATGCATATGTCCACCCATGTTATTCCAAGGACACCTATCTGAAGATCTATGCAGGGTCCATAAAGCCAATGGCAGGCCCAGATGAGTGGCCTTGGTCTGATTGACTTCCCCCTCTTCCACCTGTATATGCTGCTAGAGCTGGAAGACCAAGAAAACTAAGGAGGAAATCTGCAGTAGATCTGAGCACAGATGGTGTCCGAGTTGCAAGAACACATATTAAATTGCATTGTTCAAAGTGCAAGAAGGCTGGTCACAATTCTAGGAGATGTCCGGATGATCTTAACAACAAGGAAAAGCTGGTATAGTCTGCATCTAATTTTTGTAAGCTTATTTTATTATTATAGTATATTGTGTATAATGTGTGCATTAACTACTATGTGTTTACATGTAATCAGCTGTAACCTAGAAAAAGAAATAGGAAACCAAAGAGCAAGCACAGTGTTGGAGTGCATGATAGAGATGAGGAGCCTAGGGATGAGGGGTTTGCTACAGAGGACACCCTTGGTGATCAGTCCACCCTATTTGATGACCTCAACCTTATTGACATTACCATGCAGTCTGCTGAAGGAGCAAATTTTGCAACTCAGGTTCCTATTGTTGTGAGTATAGAGGACACTGCTATGTTCACTCAAGAAACACAGGTCAGTCAAGACTCAGAAGATAGCAAAGAAGAAACCTTAGAAGGGAGCAAACAAGAAGAGAGCCCCAAAGGAGAGAGTGAAGAGGTTTCAGAAGAAGAGACTGTTGGGACATACCAGAGGACAAAAGAAGGGATTAGGATATGCTATGGACCACCCCCTTGTCAAAAGAAGAGCAGTTCAAATGTAGTCAAACGACCTAAAGTGAATCCGAGACCCAAACTGAGCATTAAAAGGGGCCCAACATATGCTACTAGATCAAAAACAACTTTCAAATCAGTCTTCTATGGAAATGATGATGACCCCATTGATATACAGTAATGGGTGGACTAAAATGTGTATTCATGGTGCTACTTTGATGATGTAATGTAGTACATTTTTTGCTTTTTGGAACTGATGCAACTTTGATGATGCTACTGTATTGGTATAGCTTCTATGTTTTTGAGATACTTTGGCTATTCATGATCTCAGTGTGATCATGTAATGTATGGATTAGCATTTTGGTTTTCAATGATATCATGTATTTGGATGATCTGATGTAATGTATGTATGGATTAGCATTTTGGTTTTCAATGATGTCAGGTTTATGGATGATCTCATGTAAGTTCAAACAATGGTAGTGGTGTATTAACAGGTTGTCAAGTTTGTCAAGTCTGTCAAGGTTATCAGTTAGCATACATATGTGTTAAGCACATTTTAAACTTATCAGTTAGCATACATATGTTATCAGTTAGCATACATCATGATCATATAACTTTCATTTCATACCAAATCATGATAATCAACAGCTTTTAAAAAGCTTTTACAAGTACAACATCACACACCTCACTACATTACATTATTTGCCTTTCAACCACACTGAAACAATAATAACCACAACACACATAAAGCACACTACTGTAATGCAGTTACTACGTTTTGTCTTCTTCTTCTGTGGTTTGAACCAGTTTGTCTCCAATGTTTCAACCTTCAATTCGAATGAATGAATTTTTTCTTCATAGCCATTCAGTTTTTTCAGTAATCCTGGGATTATTTTTTGA